TCGTCCGCATACTCCAAGTCAAGAAGTCGCTCACCAGGAAGTAGCTCCACACCTTCTAGGTCGTGTCCAGCGAACGCTGTTTCCATGACTTCATCAATAACGAAGTTGAAAAGGAAAGGTGACAGCGGGCAATCTTGTCTCACACCGCTGGTGATACTGAAGGGTGGCGACAGTTTGTCATGAACCTTCACCCTGCCCGAACTATGCGCGTACAGCGCTTTAATAATGTTTACATATTTATCAGGCACACCTTTCCTCAGCAGACAGTCCCAAAGGGCACATCGATCGACTGAGTCGAAGACACCTTTTATGTCAAGAAACACGACAACGGTGGGTTGCCAATAAACAGGGCGGCGCTCCAACAATTGACGCAAGGTGAAGATGTGGTCGATGCAGCCCCGACCTCGACGAAATCCGGCTTGCTGTTCACGAATCTGGCTTTCATGAGTGCCAGTCAGTCTGTGGAGAATGACAGAGGCAAGCAATTTAGAGGTAATCGAAATCAGGCTGATCCCTCTATGATTACTGCCTTCCAAACGGGAGTTTCCCTTAAAAATTGGGACAATGACGGAGCGGTTCCAGTCTGTCGGGACTGTCTCCTGCTCCCAAAGTTTCAGTAGCAACTCGTGTAAATCATCTACTAGAGCAGGTCGCCCGAATTTGAAGAGGGCTGGGGGAATTCTATCTGCCCTTGCGGCCTTATGCAATTTCAATAGCCTGATCTCACGTTCGACTTCTGCGTGTGAGGGCGGATCCAAGGAGACGGTCCAGGGAGAAGGGCGCGCAATGCCCGAAAAAGAAACCGATAATTCAGGTTGGTTAAATTGCCTTGCAAAGTGTTCAGCCCAACACTCCAAGCGTTTTGACAGACTGTAGCTCAGCTGCCCAATCTCGTCGCGTATGGTCTCGCTAACACCAGGTCTCCTGCTGCCTGTTTCCCGTATCAGATGGAATAACTTATGATTATTACAAACGGCGGCGGCCGTTTTCATCTCAGAGGCACGATGAGACCACCAGGTTTCGCGGTCTTTCTTCAGGCTAGCAGGTAGCTTTGCCTTGAGATTTCTGCGAGAACGATTCTGCTGTACGGCTGTGAGACTTGGCCCGTTCGCAAAAGCGATGTTCAGCGGCTTCTGTCTTCGATCACCGCTGACTGCAAAGCATTGCTGGTGTTGGACGACAGCATCACATCAGTAATGAAAAAGTCTGTCGGCGAGTCTTCAGACCCAACGAACTCCGTCGACCGATTGATAGCATGACTTCACTGCGTAGCCTTCGCTGGCTTGGGCATGTGCTCCTCAGGTTTATCCAGTGGCTATCAATACGAGCCCTATTTGCGAGCACACGCGTGGCTTGGAAGCGAGGAAAAGGGGGCAAAGTAAAACTTGGATGCAATGCGTTAAGGAGTAAACGTTAAAGATGGCTGTTGTCAGGCTTTCCCGACTCCCCGGTTGGAAACTAAAGGACCCCGAGCAGACATTGTTGCAAACACTGGAAGATATGGCCAAGAACCGTACGCAATGGCGCAGCTGCTGTGAGACTCCTCAACATTAACAGTTGGTTTCCCTTTCACGCTATATCTTGCCTCTTATGTGTTGTGGCACAGCCAATTATATTGTAGCTGGTGGCGTTGAATATATATATATATATATATATATATATATATATATTTGGCTGGCGGCCTTCCGTTTTGGATTTGCCTGTCACTGTGGTCAGCCACAGGACGGCTGCGCCTACAGAGCGACCATGGGGGGCATGCGCTGCACCACTCACAGCTCCAACCACACACCCCATATCCAATGTAAACCCAAAGGAATAAGACCGGGAGGCATGTGGATGGGAGCCACGTTTCATCAACGGAACTGGCCCACACTCCATTACAGGCTAACACAAACACGCTGTATTTGGGAATCAAGCGCACACCAAGGCGGTGGCTGGACCGTAGTCCGCTCCACACTAAGTGCACGGAACCACTCTTCGAACCTAGCACGACCACAAGGACCGTGCACCCCGTCCTCTCTAGCAACGACAAACTGTCTCCTAGAGCCAGTATGGACGAGGCAGTGGGTACTAGACAGGTAGGCACCTTGTCAACATGCACATCAAGCGCAGCCACACCGCGGATGTCAAACAACAGCCAATCACTATGAAATATATGAAATATGAAACATATCTGCTGAAGTATACGGCTATGCAGACATAACTCCATCCTAAATTAACATATGAAGTAAGCTGCTTAGCAACGCATCCGCGGTAAGTACAAAATATCCAGAAGTTACTCAAAAAATGATAAACGCAATGAAGTCAACGAAGATAACCACAATTAGCGTAAGCAAAGTGGCCAAATAATAAAAGATTAATCATGTAGGCAGAACAAACTAAATAAAGTGGAATGAAACTTATCCAGTTTAAAAATACCTAGTTTAAGTGTAAGTTGGTTTAGCCCAACTGCGGTGAAGAATCAGCATGAATGTAACATCAGCCTCAGCAAATATATATATATATATATATATATATATATATATATATATATATATATATATAATCACACCGACTCCCGCGACGTGTGTTGTTTGCGCGTCGGAGGTCTGGATGGAAGAAGCGGTGGGGAGCCAAGCGAAACTTGGTCATTTGGTGCATCCCGGCTGCCTGGCTGAGTCCCAAAGACAATGAACACGTTTGCTTGGATACACTTGTTAACGTGGTTGGGAGCCGACCTCTGTGGCGTTCGTGTTGTGAGTTTCACTGTTCGTCTCCCTCCCCTTTAGATCCCTCTGCCAATTGTGATCTCATGCCAAATGCATAATTCGATGTTTAACATTATAGTGCTTGCTTTTTGAACTTTTTGTAGTCTGAACTCTTTGGTAGCTTATCATTTTTGTGCTTCTCAGCCTCAGCTAACGTATATTGATGAAGATGAGCTTTTCGTGATTATGTGTTCTTGGCAAGGTGTAGGCGAAAGGAAGCAAGCAAGACACTAACAGTATGTTGGTGCGCCGCAACGACGCTTTGCTGCCAAGTGACCACCACCAGTCGCGCGCACCCTAGAGATACTTCGAGGTCACTAGCACCCACGCAGATTCGAACCGGTGACCCATGAGTATCAAGGTAGTAGCCCCATCCCTTCGGCTACTGGCCGAACCTGAAGGTTTGCTTAGGGGTTTTAGATGTTACACTGGGTCGTCTTTTCCTTCCTATTCTATTCTTTAAGTGATTGTAGACATTAACAGCGAAGCATCAGTCCAAATGTCTGACTACTGCTGTTGAGGAAGATGATGCTGATGCCGAGGATAGAACAAAATCCAAGGCATTTCCCTATACATACACACTCCTTCAGTCGCTATGCAAACGGCACTTCCCCGTATCCGAGGAACTACCACGGAGTACCTAGTCAGAGCACTTTCATCTCCTCATCTGTAAAGTTTATTCACGGTGATTTGCAGGCAATATGACGTATTTTGCTAAGTAGCCCGTGGTAGTTTCGTGAAAGTCTGAGATGTCAATAGAATGTCGGAACCTAATACCAATACTGGCTGTTGCGTGCTCATCAGCGTTTAGTGTCACAATCATACTAGCGAACACGAGAAAATTAATGAAAATGAAGGAAAACCGAGGAAGACAATGCCGAAGACTATGTCTTGTGACAGAGACCACTCTACGACTGTTCATCTCGAGAGAAGAGTGTTGTTCGAGATGCCCTACCACTGACTTTTGACAAAGCAGTCTGACCCACAAGACACTGTGCTACATGGAGGTTGAATGGGGGTTCCACCATGAGCCGTCAACTCAGTAATCCGACCCACACGACGGTGGGGTACACGTCAGACTCCGGTGGGCAAATGCGGAGTTGAGCTGCGATCTGTTTGAGACCGGTAGTATCCAGCCTTTAGAGATTTGTAATATTTCATCTGTTTCTCGACCGTAGCGTGTTATACACACATGCGACCGAGCCCAACCTCAGGTGGGAGTTGACGGCTTTGTGCCTAATTGACAGACTCTGTCGGGACCAGAGCGGGTGGCAGCAAACGACCGAACACAGTTGGTCTACCACCGTCAGAGAAAGTGCGTGTCATTCGTGTTCGACTCCAATCGAGTTGTGAACTTAAGGCCGTTCACGTGTTGTATCCCATGGTTAGGTTTTGGAGGAAAAGGGCTATCAGTCTCTAAAGCTACCGAAGAAGCTGAGCGCAATTTTATGTGACCAGGTACCGCTGACTGTTCTGACATGATTAATTTTGAAGGAACTTGTAAAGTGCCACTTAATATACCTCAATAGGTTAAGATGGCATGCAAAAAGCATAGCACTATCTTAGGCTCAACTTTTGTGGCGATGGATATGGCTGAACAACTTCAGCTATACCAGTATACCAGAACGAATTTGTAGTGTGAGAATTTGGCGGCGCGCACGCTAACGCGGTCTATTGCTAATTTCCAAAAGCGAAATCGGACAGTTAAGATTCAACTCCAGTTACAGCTCAAACCAGGTAGGAAACAGAAAGTAATAATAATTCAGTTCTAAGTTGGAAAACTGCTGACTTCGAAAAATAGCTAGAGAATATAATCAAAAGAACCAAGACCAGAATGCACTAAACCGAAGAAATTACGTGTGAAAACGGCTTTTGACGAAAAAAAAGCAACTCTCACAAAAGGAGACTACAGAACGAGTATGGACAGGCGAGGAATAAGCCTGAGTGAGCAACCAGCAGATTAACCAAACGGAGTTCAGTAGGAATGAGTACATAAACTGCATATTAACGAAAAATCGGTGTCTGGCCGACGACCTTATTTAGATTCTTTAACATAATAAGAGAATAAATAGCGGGAGGAGTTACAACTAGACATGACCTTTGAAATGTTCATATAAATATGAAATGAGACGTAACCAAATACAGGAAATATACTTTACGTAACGCAACTCTAGTTCAGTACCAGTCGCGCAAGGAAATACATATCGAAAGTAGAACTATGATATTCAAGCCACGGAATATTAATAGACTTGCTCTAGTATTCATTAACTCCAACGCGGAGAGTATGTTCTGCGACATATTCGATTCTGATCCTAAGGACGCGTGATCCGAGATAGTCTCGTTGGTTGGTAAATCGGATAAGTAAGATGAAAGAACAGCTGACGAACGCCTCCTGAAGACTGATTTGAGAGCAGGATGCGCAGTCAACAGCTCAGGGTGTCGCTCAGATAAAAGAAGAAAATCCGTCATAGCCTGACTGGGCCGGATAGCATGATCTTGTGTATCGCATCGGTAAATATCAGACTGGTTAGAGGAGGAAGGATTAGCAGCAAGTGCTAGCGAGATTACAGCTGCTTGTAAATCAGAGGAAGTTTTTACACTAGGGGAAGAGTTTGACGAGCCAATAGCATGGGCCGCTGCAAGAGCGGCTTGTTGGGCTGCGGCGGATATCACAGCAGAAGAAAAAGTGGGTGATACTTGAGGAGATTCAAAGAAGCTCGCCGTGGAAGATCGACGCACGGGCATGGAGGAGCCTTGCGCATTATCTCCATTAGCTGATCCAGCAGTCGCAGCTTGTAGTAGAAATGCAGCGGCCGCGGCCGCAGACATGGCTGAGGAGTTTGCCGAGCTAAAGCCAGTAACTCCAGTTGGTAAACAGCCAAATGGTGAAAGGCTGCTTCGACTGTTAGAAGAGCACGAGAGAGATTGTTGTGCATCGGGAAGCAATTGATGTTTGTCAATGTCACTGGATGGAGCCACATTGGAAGAAGAGTTGATTGGCATTTGCGAAAGCAATTAAGCAGCAATGGATACAGTCCTATGCATGTTAGCTGGAAAGCAAAGTGCAATAGTTGATTAGAAAATGTGCCGATATAAGGATGGAAAACTGCAACTGCAAACAAATGTCTCGTAGTTCACGTCAATGGTTGAAATTCGTGGGTACGGGTTTCAGGGAGAAAGACGGTGAGGCAAAAAGACGCCACCGACGGACAGTGTGGAGTAAATTTATATCAGAATATCGGCGCTGATTGGCTGTAGACGATCTCAGAGACCGCGAATCCCTCTTCGGACGTGCCGCAAGCTGGGCATAAGGAGAAGAGGAGCGTTATTTTGAAGTGAAGCGCGGAACCCCTTGGGTTGAGTGATCAGCTAATAAAAGTATAACTGCATTTTAGCAGGTTCATTATACGCCTCTAATAACTGAACAATAGATCGCAAACACTTGGTAATGGTTATCTATCTAGATTCAAACGTCTTGCGATCAGTTGGTAAAACCGACCAAGCTGGTAAAGAGCATAATGTCGCGGTGTGGTGACTTGATACCCGTGCGTTTCCGCCTGAAATCCGTTTACTGTTGGATAAGGGAATACGGGTCAAGCGCCAGGAAATGGCTGATCCATTGACTTAGTGCACGTAAAAAAAATAAAGCCGGATGTTGCGGGAAAAGCAATCTTCTCAAAAGAAGAATGAATAGGAACTTGGAATACAATTGGAACCGATTGGGAAGTTGTAGTTTCAGGGAAGTTTGCAGCTATTTGTTCGTCATGAATAGAACTGATTTGTTTGTACTCTATGAAAACCTGAAGCCTCTTAGAGAGCAAGTGAAGATTGTGAGTGTACCCGGGGAATACACAGATAACTCATCCGGAACCTTGTCCCCCGAATGTGTCAGTAAACGAATGAGGGCGACTCCAAACTGTTTCCGATATACATGAAGCCAGCAACAATGAACAACGTTGCAGACGTAAAATTTGTACATCAGATGGAAATGGGTGGCATGGGATAGAAAAACAAGCGCAAACGCCCGATCATACTACACAGAGCATAACCAGTGAGAGCACCTCGATCAAATATGAGTCACGTAGGATTCATGCTAGGTACCCAGAAGGAATAATCAGAAAACTGTTACAGTGGAGAAAAATACCCTTGGAGCAGTGACAACATTTGCAAAAACGAGAAGATGATGGTATCCCACAGAACGATGCGCAGTGTCTCAGTCTGAAAACTGTGTCCTGAACTGCAACAGCACGTCAACAAAATTGTTAATACTGCAGCAGTAGCAGCCACATGCTTGAAAATATTGTTCAGCATGGGGAATGTGTGAGGTGCATGAAAAAAGTAGTACCCACGAAGCCACCAATCGAACAAGATTAGTTTACTGAAATATGAAGACATATAAGTTGTTCAGGATCAATCCGGAAATAACATGGGACATTCAGAAGGTAAGTAAAACTCGCTCCTGGAAAATAACTGGTACGTTTCCAATTGGACTAAGAAACCAAAATCAACAGCCCTGCTGGGAAATACAGCCTCGCAGACCTGTTGCATAAAATGTAACAGTGCCATAAGTGGTCAGAACTGCATGGATGATAACTACGTTACGTCAATTGTTGCAGCACCTTTACATATACTGGCAACGTTGTGTTCCTCGACATCAAAGAAATTTCATACGCTTCAGTTGTTGTCTCGTAGTCGAACTACCTGTTTAAAGTGTATCTAGTGCTGAGGTATCTGCGAGATATTGCCCAATTATGAGGAAGGGCAGTGAAAGCCGCAACGAAGCTGTCTCGCCGATGCCGCTTTATCTTTGTACGAAGGCAGCTGTTCGTGACCGCTTGTTATGGGCAAGATGTAGTCGCGTTGACCCTGAATGTGAGCTTAAGGCAATAGGACTTTATGCTAGATCCATCGTCTCTCCTTGTTATTATCCTTCGCTTAGATCATCGCGGTTGTACGATAGCGATCCATCAGTTCAGACGGCTGATGTAATGATGATTTTGTTGTTGGTGGTGTTCTAGCTGCTGCTGCTGTTGAATACTGAAATCAGAGAGCGCGAAGATATAAATATGTATTCCTCCATCGTAGTTAGATCGGGCACTTGCGCGGAATCACGTCGTTGCTCCTGAGCGGTGGCTGCATAGTGCAGCTACACTACATCGTATCTGGGTGTGGTACGCTCCCTATACCTGTAATCCGCAAAGTGAGCGTCGAGAAATCTCCCAAATTCCGACACCGATCTCGCCTCGATTACTGTCTCCGGCATCTTGTTCCAGCATTTCACGCGATACGCTACAAATCCGGTACTACCAGTTTGTACCGGTGTCCGCTTGTGCTGCTTGTTGCGCGAACGTGCAGCAGCGGTCTCAACATGGGGAAAGGACACAGGTGCAACATCCGGTGTAGAATTATGAGATCAACTCGATCCGACGATATGACAGCACATACAGCCCCCGTAAACTGTGGATGCGCCGGGTATCTATATTCTGAACCCGTTCCAGTCTCTAGACCTCCCCTATTTCGGTCGGACAATAGGCTTGTGAGCCGTACTCATGCACCGGTCTTATCATGGTAGAGAACATGGGAGTGACAATCTCTTCGAAGCGAGTGCAGAAGCTACGTCCAAGCACGCAAAGCATGCGTATCCCAATTCCGCACAATCGGTTCGTGTTATTGACAGACTTCAGATCACAGCGTGAGAGTACATCCAGATCCTTGACGGAGCTCGTGAAATGCAGCGGTCGGCCGGCTAGAGTGTACATACGCCAATTACCATTCTTCTCCCGACTCATAAATAACGACTTGACCGGCATATCAACTTCTGCAGGCCACAGGGACAGGCGATCGAGGTCGGTCTGAAGGACGTCACATTCCTCGGGAGAATCAGTAACCCTCCAAATCTTCAGGTCGTCTGCAAACGATGCACAGAGACCCAAGAAGCTGAAGTATTTCGTTGTCGTGGATCAGGAATTATTGTCCATCTTAGTCGCGTCATCCCCATTGGGGATCGGCTTCAGGACCGATAATTTCCATTCGCTCGGCAATGCACCTACAGAAAATGCTCAGTTGAACAGATCACACACAGCAGGCAAGATGATGACTGATAGGGATGGAGACTGTCAGGTTGGGCAGGCTTCATGGCGTCAAGACTGACGAGTAGACTGCGGACATCTTTCACATCGCAATTCATGAACTCCAATTCCATAGCAGCTTCACACGCCGAGTTCGGAATACGCGCACGCCCACCTGTAAATACGGAAGCGAAGTGCGTCGCCAATGCGGACACACGTTCAGTGCTGGAAGCCAGAACCTGTCCATCTGAGCCCTCTAACAATGCTAAGTCACCTGCGGGCCTCAGGCATCGCTTCACGAAAGCAAAAATCGTCTTGACGACCGACTTCGCTAAGCCTGTGAGTCCCATTTCGAAATACTCACGCTGTCGTGCTTTCGCGCTGTTGCATAGATTCCGCTGCGTCTTGTAGGCCTCATAATCGTTGATAGAACCAGACACGAGGAATTTATTCCGCAATGGATATGCCGACCAAGGTCATCCTCACACACGCGTGACGTGCGTGCTACTGGTTCATTTGGATTATTTCCCTCTATCCTCTCTCCATCTTCTCGCAGCGTTGTCACTGTACGCTCATTCGAACCGGATTTACCACCTCTAAACAGTGATTCATCATACGTGGAA